ACATGATGGGAATTGGAGCTATAGAAATAAACTGAATAGCATTAGACCTTAAAACACTTTAAACTTTTCTCAGCTTGTTAACATTATTAATCGTCAATCATTTTTTGTTTAAGCATTTCTAAGCTTTTCCACCAGTTTGTTTCAGGATTGCATTTTATTTAGTCTTTTACTGGGACGACTGGGAGGAAACTATGCTAACTTTTTAAGCTAAGATCTTGACTTTACATAGATTCATGAATTTTCCGTTGTCTGTTGCTGACCACATAATTAACAAGTTCCTTTTATGGTAAAGAGGAGGAACTCTGTTGGGAAAAATGTGCTACACTTTATTCTGTTTTTGTGTCTAGTTAATAACCTGAATGTTTTGCTTCCTTTTTGCACAAAATGACTCACATAAGCAGAACAGCTGCTAGACAAAGCTAGACGTAATCTCCTCTTACTGATGCCTTAAAGCTGTATTCAGTGTTAGATGGTTTGGGTATGGAGCCAGGATCCTTCTACTCACTATTATTTAAACAATCCTTCTATTTGTGGAAAACTGTCTGCATTGTTTATTTTTTTTTAGTTTTTAACGGCACTTGTGGCTCGTTTTTACGGACAGTGGGCTGGCAGGAAAGAGGGTATCAAACAGGGAGAGAGATATTGGGGAAAGGACCACAGGTTGGGTTCGAACCCGCATTGAGAACTAAGGCCTCCATGCATGGGTTGTGTGCGCCTACCACAGCATGCCCTGCCTGCATTGTTTAATTAAACTGTGTGTCAGTTTTTGCTTGTGGTTCTCAGGTACTTAATGTAATCCTTTGTCTCTCCAGAACAGACAGAACATTGGCAAAGACTGTATCCGTTCCCCCCTGTAAGGATTAATAAATGCAGCTTAAAATAAAAGCACAGATCTCTTTGTTAATATAAGACTTGGATGTTTTTTGATAACTGGATCATATGGATCTTGTTTAGCTTACTGACAGCATGGATATTATGAATATTGTTGACCCTATGCTGCTATAGGCTTAGACTGCTGGAGGACATAAGGACCCCTTTTTCCTCTTTTTCATCATTCTATCTCTATAGTTCTGCTGCTATAGGCTTAGACTGCTGGAGGACATAGGGACCCCTTTTTCATCATTCTGCTTCATTCTATCTCTA